CTGACGCAGGAGCATCGAAAGTTTGAGAGCAGCTTGGGCAACTTAAGGAGATCCTGTTTCCAAGTAACATTTTAAAAAGGCTAGGGATATAGCTGCCTCATATGCATGAGGCCTTGGGTTCAATTTCAAGTACTACAACAACACTTATAATCAAAGCTATGAGAGGCTGAGGCAGGAGGATCCCTTAAACCCAAGAGTTCACGGGCAGCCTAGGTTACAGGAGAAGACCTGGTCTCTTAATATTTCTCAACCAACCAACCAACGAGTGTCCTACGTTTAGCAGACGTGAGACCTTTAACCTCACCTCCTACACAAACCCTACTTCCTGGTGAGAGACCGAGTCTGCCCAGCACACGCTCCCCTGCGCTACACCAGGGCTTGGCTGAGCAAGAGTGAACTGAGCACTGCGGGTCCAGCTGTGACCCGGGACAGCAGAATCAGTGCCTGGGACCTGTGGCGACAGCAGATCTGGTGTCCTGAGACCTCGGGCCCGCCTGGCCTGGGATGGTTTCTCAGGCCTCCGGCCATACTGCCTGCCACCTTTCTAGATGTGGGCCACGAGGGGCATTCGGAGTCAGCTGCCAGAGAACCCCAGAAGCTGCAGGAAGGAGTGGGGTCCCTGGTACCAGGTGACACATCTCAGGATGGCAACCAAGGTCATCAGGCATCCTAGCCACGGAGACCTGGAGTCTGACTAGGGCAGGGAGCATCTAACCTACAGTGTTCAGGCCGCTTCAAGAATCCCCAGTGCAGCTTCATTCTGTGGGTAAAGGAGACGAAAACAGAGTACACAAGCCCAGCTGTGGGGCCGGGCCGGGGTGCTCTGGTGCCAGGCTGCTGCTGTTTACCTGCGTGCCCTGGGCATGGGCACTGGGGAGCGCAGCAGTGAGGGGCTGGTGGGAGGGCTCTTTGCCAGCTGCCTTAAGCTCCCTGAGCGCAGACCCCCGCCTCATGCCCGAAACATGGCCATTCCAAACCGCAAGACCTGGAGGTGGGGACAACAGCAAAACTGGCAACGAAACCGTTTGCTCCACGTAAAACCCCTGCTTGAGGGCTGAAGAGGTTCTGGAGTCCGCAAGGGCTGCTTTGGAGGGCTGCAGCCTGCTGGGCAGCTCAGGGCGCTGCTCTCAGCACGGGTGGCCACGAGGCAGCACAAGGCTCCCACCCCAGAGGTGCCACAGAGGCCAGTGCTCCTCCAGCAGTGTCACGACGGGCAGTGGCTTGGAAAGCCGCAGTGCACCGTGGGTTCCGCTGCTACTGAGGCTGCGGATGTGCCGCTTAGGGCACAGGCACCAGCAGCCCCTGCCTGGTTAGCAGCACCGGACAGCGGACAACAGAGGACTGAAGACCAGAGGACTTCACCAGCGACTGTGTCCGCGGTGGAACCTTCCGCCTGGCAGGCAGGGCCGCAGGAAGCTCCCGCCTGCCCATTGCTGGGCTGGGCGTCGCCAGGAAAGTTGCTTGGGTCCACTGAGGATGCAGTGAGAACACTGTAGGCTGTCAGAAAAACACGTCTCCTGTGGAAATCAGAGGCTTCAACACGCTGGGGGTGGTGGCGCACACCTACAATCCCAGCACGCAGGCTGAGGCAGGAGCGTCACTGTTTGAGGCCAGCCTGGAGCTCACGGGGAGGGTGAACTGGTCCAGGCTCCTTCCTGCAGCGTGACCTCAGCCGTCTTCTGCACAGCCTCACGCCGAACCAGCTGTCCCCTACATCACAGGGCACACAGCACAGCACTACGCACAGGCGAGGCCCAGCATCCACAGGGGTCCTGAGCTGGACGCCACGTCTGGCGTACGTGATGTCACTGAGCAACTGTCCCTCAGGGACGTATGTAGCCCGGGCCTGCGCGTGACATCTCCAGGGCCGAATGCAGGACGTGCGCTCCACAGGGGTGCAGGGTCCTCAGGACAGGTGGGCTCTTCCGCGGCCCTGCAGAAAGCACCACCGGAGGCACCATCGGGAGACTGCACCGGCTTCTAGCGAGCCCCCTGGACGCTGCTGGAGTCCCCCTGCGCAGAAGGAGCAGTTCAGACGGAAAAGGCCGGCCGGGTGAGTGGGACTGACCTGAAGCAGCCCTGTGTATTTGGCACTGAGGTAGCTTTTTAGCTTTAGGATTCAGCCATGTTAATCACGACTCGCTGAAATTAGTTTACTTCAACAGCATTGGCAGAAGTCTTCTAAGGTTGATTTTACTCTGGGATGACAAATAATGCTCAGGACCCGAGAGAATGGCGTGTTCTAAGAAATGGCATGTTTTATGAAAAACTACTTGCAAAACAGAATTATATTTTAAGACAATGGCAGCATTTGCTTAATATCAGAAGCAACCAGCCTGTGAAATTTTAACTAGGGGTACACACGAAATACACGGCTTAAAGGAAACCCCAAGTCTGGGGTACAGAGAGGGTGAGGGCTGTACACAAGTGCCCCACATCCCCGGTGCCCTGTTCCCTGCTAGGCGGCTCCTCACAAGAAAGCACAGTCAAGGCAGGCAAGGCTGACCCCTGACAGAGCACCTGCTGGGAGCGCTCCTCACCCTCAGAACCTCTGAACTACAGGACTCATTCTCGAATGAGGACAGGCAGACAAGCAAATCTACAGTACTTTTTTTTTTTTGAGGCAGTCTTGTTATGTAGCCCAGGCTGGCCTGGAACTCATGGCAATCCTCCTGCCTCAGCCTCCCAAGTGCTGGGATTACAGGTATGTGCCAGTAAGACCAGTAGGCAGATCACTTCGTAAACCCTATCCTGATGTGGACATCAAGCTAAGTGGGAAGAGGGACAAAACACGTCTCGTAGCAGCTCCTTTGCTTCAACTGGCATAACACACACAGGGGAACAGGAGTGCTCCACCACGTAAGGCCCCGGGGCTCTCCCAACACCGGTGTCCTGGTCACTGCCGAAAGGCCAGAAGTCGCTGCTCTCCAAGATCAAGGCCACTCAGCTGAGTCATCCACAATGCACAGGGTGAGCGCCTGGGTGCCTCGGCTTCCCTGAGGCCCAAGGGAAGGCTCCAGAGCAAGAGGCCTTCCTCCTCTCAGTCACCGCAAGCAGCAGGAGGGATCAAGGTTTGCAGCTATTTTATTTACAAGTATACATTTAACACAATGAAATAAACACTGATATATTGAAGCCTAGTTAATAGTAGTGTAACAATATGTATCATTTTCATGATTACATTATTTTAAACCACAAACGACACTGAAAAATTAATGCCTGTAAAATTCTTGGTCATAATATTATTAAGAAATATAATATATAAATTGAAAATATAATTGCTTAAAATTTGAAAATGGAAGTGAACTCATTTGGACAGTCAGAGCTGAACGTCATCTGAAAGAGGAGGGGCTCTGACCCGAACGCCGCCTCTCAGGTTAACAGAAGAAGCGGAGCTGCTTTTGGAGGACGGCGGTGAGCCTCCCCAGGGAGAACATGTCCCAGTGTCCTCCGCTGCGCTCACATCACGGAGCTGGAAGACTTGCCTTGTGAAGCTGCCCCTTCTGCCTCCAAAATTATCCTTCTGGAAATATTGACCGCAGTCTGATTTTCTTTAGCGGAAGATTCCAAAAAAGCTGCATTCCAAGATTCCGCCAAAGCTTTTCTTCTTCATAACTGATCACCTTTCCATATGCAGGTCTTCAAATAAACTTACGACACTGTTCTTGGCTTGTTTCGTCCAATCTTTTCCAGTCAAGAAGGACCTGGAACGCTTTGGATTGTGGCGCCATATCTAAAAGAGCAACCGGGTAACAGGATGGTCTTGAATGCCTGATCCTCCTGCCTCCTCCATCACTACAGAGAGACTCACTGCCTGCGGTCCGGGCTCAGGCTGCGTGTATTTCCCGTCCCGCTTCGAGCGCCAGCCTCCTGACTCAGGGTCCCAGCCCCGCAAAGCCCGAGGGTGCTCAGTGCTAGCCCAGGCTCAGTTCAGGCTTCTGAGAAGGAGAACAGAGTGCTTGGGCCTGAGTAGCTCACATCTTAGATCTTGAATCTTAGATCTTGAAGCTACTGACTTGGTAAAATACTCAGTGTTAAATTTTATTGGTAGGCCGGGTGTAGCACTCAGGATGCTGAGGCAGGAGGATTGTTGTGAGTGCTAGACCAGCCTGGGCTACAAAGTGAGCAAGGCCAGTCTGGCTTGCATAGCAAGACCCTGTCTCAAAAAAAGGCGAAAAAAATGTTTTTGATTGGTTTGTCTTTAGAAAAATGTACTACATGGTTATCTTTCCTCTCCTCCCACTGGGAGGAAAGGGGGATTTCTCTCTGCTCTGAACATTGTGGGTGTCCATGGTGAAAGTTGCTTCTCACCAGGTGCTGGGCTTTCTGGGGTTTTAAAGTCATGATTCATGAACTATACTTTACATGGACCAGTTCCCTGGGCAGTCCTGCTCCAATAGCAGTGGCTTCTGCTCTTGGTCAGCAGGAAGGTCTTGTTGAGTAGAGAACAGGCCTTACCCACTGTACACGCATGCAGTGGATCCCGCACTTACAAAGCAGGGGCAGGAAAACTGCTAGCGTGTAGCCTTTCCCTCATTCGTGTACAAGAAATGTATTGTGCCATACTCTCCTTTGTTTCTGCTACACTAGAGGTAAAATAAGAAATCTTTAAGAATGTACTGGGCCAGGAGTTAGGGTATAGCTCAGCGGCAGGAGCATCTGCCTGGCAAGAGCAAGGTCCTGAGTTAGATTTCCAATATCAAAAGAAAAAAAAAAAAGAGTGTCCCAACTAATCTATATGTAGAGTAAGCAACTTTATACAGACTTATAAACAAATGAATCTAATGCTGGCAAAAAAGGGGGGAGGGGAAAGAGAATTGAGATGTGTTATGTACTGATGCCATTTCCCCAAAATGAATGTTGTTATGTACTGCAAACATGTACTAATAGAAATTTTAAATTAAAAAAACTTTAATTTTAAAAAATCAAAAAGAACCAGCTACTAAGCCAGGCATATTGGTATATGGTCTGTAATCCCAGCACTCTGGGAGGCTGAGGCAGGAGAATCACAAGTTCGA